TTGTTTAATTCAAAACGGACCCAACTTCTCCGTCTTCTCTGTCTTTATTTTGACACCGAGCTGAGACTACATTATCATTTGCCACCATATTTTGTTATTTTTCACCTCTGGTGGGGTACCACGTGTTCTAAGACTATGACACTAATGTCCACATTTCCAGGAAAAAAAATTAAAATGTTCTCCTGTAAAAAATTGCATTACGAATTTCGGCCCTTGTTGAAAGCACAGATTCAATTATCTTCTGCATAAAAATACAAAACCAAGCCAAGAATGGCCCCTTCCTTTGCAATGCTATTTTCTCTCCTTTTCTGAATCCTTTTCCAATGTGAAAGAGGCCATTAAGGCTGTGGCTTTGATTAGTCATCTAGCTGTGTTGTTTGCAACAGACTCGAGTAAATTCTGAGCTCAGTTCCATTCGGTAGCTAAGAAAGTCGGCACCGACCCAGTAATGCCTGTAGGCCTTTTAGCCCCTTCCATTGGAGGAGAGACTCATGATCAACAAGCATTTTGTTGATGGGCATTGCTGCGGTCTGCTCGTGACAGGATCATTCACCATCTTGCATTCTCTTAACAGATGGCGCTCGTCGTGATTGCCCCGTTTCTACTGTCTGCGGACCTCTTTAGCCACTCATTTGAAAATGTTTGGGGGAGAAAGAGCTAAACTAATGAAGAGCAGATAGAGAGATGTGGTTTGGCCGCAAGCAGAACGAGATGCTTTTCCCATCGCTCCATAATAAATGGTAATAGAATGCGGGGGGCAGCAGAATCTGTTGTGTTTGTTTGTTGTAACTTGTTTTTGGAACTTTCTAGAATAATATCTCATTCATGCTTGGTAAAATATTAGCACTTAATATTTAGGGATGGTACATTGCTAATATAAGGGCAAAAAATGGACACTCTTTTTTTCTGATTTTGTTAATTGGTTGCTGTTGTTTTATGCTCTTGGGAAGCATTCTCTTTGCTCTGTACTGTCAGACACCAACTTGGCAAGATGTACTTAAGAGCAGAGATGTATGGTTTTTGGCGCCCAGCTTGTTTCCGAGTAAGTGTGTTCAGGTGAAGGACTTTGGCTGTTACCCTTTCAGTTGTGGCTCAAGCCTGTTTCTAATTTTGAGCCTCAAAACGTTGTTCGTGTCCTTAACCTCAGTTCAAGATTCAGTTCAAGACAGGAAAATATTCAACAGTTCACCTTGAGATATCAATGTTTAGTGCTTTAGTATGTAAAATCGAATGCTTAAATATTTGTTGAGCATTCCTCAGTTCACTCATCTGAAACCCATTCTCTGCCAATAATTGAGAGCACTGTAATATATCCATTGTGCATGAAACATACTGTATTGAACATTTCTTTTGAGGAAAAATTGAAATGTGGCAGACTCAGGCATAATAATGCACCTTGGGACCAGGAGGTTATAGTAAATTTGATCAATACAATTTTGTCATCTTAGGAAAGAATGTGCTCGTGGATGAATACTAATGTCTATGGTAAAGCTTTTGAAGGGGGTTATTTATTCAAAATACAGAAACTATCCAATCTGGATGTGAGTAAGCAAGCATTTAATTGTTTGCATTCAGAAACAAGATGGTGAGGAAACTAATTTGTGCTGTCAGTGCACACCTAGAGCTCTTTGATCCATACATAACATGTATACACACAGCAAAGCTGGTCCTGGCACTTTTATCTGCATGTGTGCACATCCATTTAGCTGATATGAATGAAAGAAACGTCTACAGTATATTCATTAGAGTCTACAAGGCAAGCTAGACTCTGCATTTATAGAATGACAGCTTAATGGTATTGACAGTTTATACAGTAAGCATGGGTGGAAATTGTACATTTAAATTTCTGGAAAATAAATAGGTGGCTCTCAGTTTCTGAAGCGTTGGGTTGAATCCGAGCAGATATTTGCCCTTTTTTCTGCAGTCACATTATCGATGAATACACGGGAACCAGTTCCAGTGGCAGCCATCCATGGGCATTCTTGACCATGCTTCACCAATGAGGTGGTGTGCTTTGGATTTTGGGTGGCCCGGTCTCTTCTCCATCACTCTGGTCCAAGTTCATCTTCATCTTATCGGGTCTATATGATGTTGTTTCTGGTATGTTTGGGTTTGCTTTTAGCTAAGTTCCTTTTTTGAGGCTTACCAATGTTTACTATCTTGTAAACCTGATGTACTTGCTCCGGTGAAGTCTTTTCTTGATTGTTGACTTTGAAAGATATACGCTTACCTTTTGCATAATGTTCTTGATCAGGCAAGTAATTGTGAAGGAGTTTTTCAACACCAGGGAAATAATTCGTATGTCGTCTGCCGCAGATTTTATCTGTGGTCCTCTGGCCTTTCCCTTGTGTGCTGTTTCGCCAGTGCATTCTTTCTTTATGAGAATGTACCAAGTCGTTGGTTTGAATTCATCAAATTACTTTACTATATCTCTGATGGGTTTGTTTTGATTTTTCAGCCTAATCCTGAATGGAAAGCTTGCTTCATTGCAGCCGGTTCCAAATGCAAATACCACATTTTAATTCAACTCTAGTTCTTTCATCTGCCTACCTGTAAATGAAATAATGAGGGGATAACAGACACCTGGCCAGGGAACAGCTGTGATGCCAATTGTCCTCTAATTTTCGATTCGTTAAAAGGGGGACCACATATAAAAAATGTGCTGTAATTCCTACACCGTTCTACTGATTTGGATGTCAATAACCTCAAATTACAGCAGAAAATCTGCTCACTTTCAGGGTTTAATTTCAACTTCAGTATGCTGTGGTTGGCAGCTAACGTTACCACAAATTTGTCAATGTCCAAATATTTGTAGACTTGACAGCACTTTTAGTTTTCTACCCTTGCATGTCTGTAAAGTTTTCCTGAGGCTCGATCCCTCTAAAAATTGTCAGGAGTAATTTTTTGGCCATTTGGTCTGGTGTAATTAGGCTGAACTGTGGAGGACGGTGTCTGGAGAAGAGACTTAGTTTGATTACTGCCATTAATCATGTCACCGAGAGGAGGAGGAGGGGGGGGGGGGAGGGGAGCGAGTCAAAGTTCTGACCTGTGACATTTTTAAATCTCCAATTTCAGCTCAGCACTAGCAGCTCGCTAAGCGAGTCCGCCATTCACTGCCTGCTGTCCTAATGGGTTAGGATCAAACAGGAACAGGATCTAGTTCTTCCCGCCATCTCCTCGTCTACTGGATGACTCACCCGATAATCTGTTTATAATAATTTAAACGGAAAAATGCGACGATGCTCCTAAGTAATGATCATACAAGCTCTGCTGTAGGAGCCCCTGTGTATGTATACTCAATTCTGCTGGCTTTTCATTCATCTAAAGAGCCAATTTATGCTGAAAAGCGGTCTTTATTTATTTATGCCTCATTTTGTCCTACTTTGGCATGCCCAATTATGTGTAGATGCCATAAAAGCGTTCCTTTTAGGGCTATAGCAGCCCTGGGTAAGAGGGACTGACTAGCCTGACTTGTTAGCATGTAGCTGGCTGGAGATGTAATTTCCCCAGAGTGGGCAACTTAATTTTAGTTTTGTTCAGAAAAGTGTGCAGCAGCATAAATTTCCAGCATATTATCACGTATCCCACTGTGTCCAAAGGACCCTGACTCACACAGCGTTCTGTAAATAAACAATATAGAGTTTAACAGCCGGCTAGGTTGAAGGGCTGAATGATTGTATATGATTGGTTAGATTATTGATGTAAGGCTACTGCTCACCTTATCTCACCTGATTTCATCCAGTTGCAGGAACTAGTTGAAATTTGGGGCTCTTTTATTTGCTGTGGAAGAAAACGCAGTTGGCGGGCAGAGCATTTGAAGGCGTTAGGAAGAATATTTCACCGTTGCCCTCACTCGCAAGTGAACGTATTGTGCTGTATGTGTGTGGTGTTTTACCCGAGCCAGTGCTGGAAGATGCTCAGTGTCTAGGTATCTCTGTAGCAATGCCCTCAGAAGTGGATTTTAACCAGACGTGGGTCTGGTGATTATTTTTACTCTGTTCTCTGATCCATACGTGTCTAAGCGTATCCCTGACACAATTTAAAAGAAGCTTTCATTTTCTACTGGTATCCCGTACAAATTCTTTCTTTCGTTCTAGTGCATATTTGCTCGGCAGCCAGACCCAGGTCAAACAATTATTTTAAATACTTGAACCGTGTAAAGACTTTTTGCATGGTCCATGTGAGCCGCAGCCAAACTATTGGGTCGTTGAACTACAGTTGTGTTAGTCGCTTGCTTTATTTTTCTGCTGTCAATCAAGACATGCTGAGCCAAGGGGGCTCATAAAAAGCCATCTTGTAGAAATCAGGCTGGGAGCTGGGCTGCAAGCATTCAAAACAAGCAGCTGCTGGACTGAAAAAAAAAGTCATTGTTCTCTGTAGCAAGTTCATTAAAAGCTGGTCTTTATTTATTTATTTATTTCTGTGCATTTTCAAAAGTTTTTTGTGTTTTAGTGGCATGTGCACCGGCTGAAGTAATTCAAATAATTTGGTCCAGTTCTGACTGGGGCTGGGCGTTATAGACAATATCAAATATCACAATGTTTATCACGGAGCAGCTCAATATAGATATCGCAACGATGTTGTAACAATGACTATTGCTGCTTTTGTACGGTATTTTCATGCAAGATTTTTGAAAGTCATTAGTAATGTGGATATAATGAACAAGCAGGCTGAGATAAATAATAGAATAGCTACAACAGTTCATTAAGTTCAGAAAATTGTATCCCATTACTAATGCATCCTTTAAAACCAGGAAAAGGCAACACTTATGCCGCAAACCAATATTACAATATCCAAAATCACAGACGATAACTAGTCTAATATCACAATACTGATATAAAAGTTAGTGTTGTAGTCAAGACCACCTAATCTGAGACCAAGACATGACCAAGACCGGAATGTATTGAGACCAAGTCAAGACCAAGACTTCTAGAGGCCGAGACTGAGTCAAGACCAAGACTAAGGCAGGCCGAGACCGAGTCAAGACCAAGATCGGACACGCCCTGGTGGCTCATCGGTCTAAAGCACATGTACCATAAAGGCTGTGGCCTACGTCTGGCGACCCGGTTCGATTCCGGCTCAGGTCATGTGCCGCATGTCTTCCCCCATTCTTCTCCCCAACTTTCCTGTCTCTCTCTACTGTGTGACTATCAAATAAAGGAGAAAATCCCAAAAAAATTATCTTTAAAAAGATCAAGATCGGACCAATGCAAATCCCACGTGGCATGGCACACTTATGATGAAATGTGGAACGTGTGAAGCATAGGCGCTCCTTAAATTGATCTGAAATATCCACATTCCAATAAAAACACCCACATATGACAAATGAAAATTCCTCTTCTTTAACCTCTTTAACCCTGTAATGCCATTTGTATCATATTTGATGCATGACTTTCTCTGAAATCTATGTTCCATATGATCAGCACTTGCCTTGAAAACCTGTTGTTGCAATCTGATCGTGTCATCTTCCCCTGATGGACTACCCATGTGTTGAGGTCCGTAGAATACAAAACAAAGATGGCTGCCCCCATTCATCAACCTGAATTAAAATACTTAAGTATGAATATTTACTGGATTGAAGCAACTTAAAAACAAATTTTCTTGCTTATTTTTAATAAAATTGAGTTGAAATGTATGCAAATGTGATACTACAAGTATTTAACCCTCAGAGAGTTATGAGGAACGCTGGTGATCTCTACCAACATTATTGTATTTACTGTATAAGGCCTCCTTTTTTTAGCTAGTACAATGCTAGTGGTATCCTGTGAAACTAGAAGACCTAAGGCATCCACTGGTAGTTTTTGAAACTTGACCTCACTGTATAAAAGTATCAAATATGATACAAAATGAATTTCATACATTTATTTTACATTTTGCTTAAAGGTCCAATAAATACTTCACATAAAAAAATTACAATTTTCTGGCTATTATTTGAAGGTTCAGGCTTTACAGGGTTAATTGCCATTCACTGTATATGCATGTGTAAGTGTACGACAAGAAAACTATTGATAAAATAATCAAAAGGCATTGCAGAGGTGAATTTTATGTGTGAGAATATTTCCTTCGTTTTCTATGAGCAAACAAATCCAAACATACACTAATGACCTGAAAACAACTTCATATTTATTCAACATTCCTTTTCCATGTTTTACCATCCACTAAACAACAATTTTTTTGTGCGCAAGCATCAGGTTTTCTGGGTTGACTACTTTCTTCCCTAGAAACCATCATTAAGTACAGAATGTATCAAACAATTTAATACTTAAGTCTTCACTCTTCTCTTTGCCTCTTTTTTAACATAATAAGTTTTTTTTCCTTTAATTTACTTCAACGGCTTTTGAACCGACTACAAGCTTTGTATCAATGTACAGCTGTGAAGTTAACGTGATTGGTCGCATTTGAAACAGAAGGTTTTGCATCCAATCACAGCAATGATGTCAAAAATAAATCAGACAATTCTCAGGCAAATTAGTCATATGCTCGCAGGTTTGGTCTTGACCGGTCTTGAAAAAAAAATCCTGAGTCTGCTTTGTCCGAGACGGAGACAAGACAGAGTAAAAATGCAGTCGAATCCGAGACGAGACCGAGACCTTCAAAAAATGGTCTTGAGACTGGTCTCGAGACCAAGACCGGTCTCGAGTACTACAACACTAATAAAAGTTACATACAGTATATTGCCCTGGCTATTGAAAGAAGATATGAATTCCTGGCGACCTGGAATATCTTTATTCTTCCCATGGACAACCTCCTAACTGCTGTGCCCTCAAAGTATGCACTATCTATTAATCATGCAGTTAAATAATTACTGCCCTTCTAAATGCTGTTTATGTTTGCTGCAAATTGAGTACACAGGATAAAAGGGTGGTTAAGTATGCAAAATTTCTCATGAATGTACAGTCATTTGTTTAAAATCCCCAGATTATGTCTAGGTTTCCCTGGTTTGGCAACGACAATAGGGAAAACACTTCAGTAAGTAACAGATACTTTGCAGGTGGGTCTGTCTTTGGGTCAAATCACAGTATGATGCATCATACTAGATGAGGCTGGGGTTTTTCAATATATGGGGTTGACACCTTACGACTCAACCGACTTACTGTTTATAAATAGCATGAAGGGAAAACCAGATCATCTGAGCGGTATGCCTCATAGATAATACAAATTGAGGACACCACTTCTGGGCAATGGATGCACTCTATATGATAATTTGAATGCTTTAAGTGTACATAGTTACTTTTCTCTTCCTCTACACTCAATTTACATAAGCAATTATGACTAAGTAAGCTGTTTCAGATACAGCCTAGTGGTAAAGTGTAGCTCAATATGCACAAAACAGGAGCTACAACAAAATAACGTGGATTTAATTTTTCTTCTGATGAGGACTCCAGATGAACTGAATCATGTGCACTTGCTAAAGTGGCATAATTTCCAGATAGCCCGCCTCCCATAGAGTGACCTGAAAACCAAGACATGGGCAACACTGCTGGGCTGGGATGTTGTCTTTGCTGCGGTAGCTTAAAGCAGGAGCTTTGCAGTTAGCTTCTCAGGAATTCTGCATTAGCGCATGAGCGCTGAAGGGAACAGGTATTTATATGGAGATTTAGCACGTGGCTCCACAGCTGCGGGCGTAGAGAGGAGTCTCTGTACAATGCACGATGAGTCGCTCTTGAACTTGAGAGGGGCAGGTTCAATGCAACAGCTCACGCTCGGGGCATGTACAGTAAACTCTGGAGGAAACTGCTAATTATAGGAGATGAGGGCTGAATGGCTTGCACTTGTTAGTTAACATTCTTACCCTTCTCAAGGCTTAAAGGTGTTCTTTTTTTTTTTTTAGAAACGTCGCAAAAAACCCAGTGTAGGAAAGGCTGTTGATTGCAAAGAGGCTCGTATTTATTGGGCTTGTTCCTCCTCTATTTTGTGAAGCTTTTGCCTGAGTAGTGCTGCTAAAAACATCTGACACAAAATGCACATTCAGCGACGCCTGCTGCGACCGTCGGGCTACCTCTGCCACCGGAAAATCTCCGGCTGCCTGTTTGAAGGGCGAATTTCCTGTTTCCGACCGGAGCGAGGTCTTTTCACGTGCTCTCTTCCACAGTCGACAGGAAAGGGAGCGGTGCCACCATCATGCGGTGAATTCTTCCGATGGCATTGAAATTTTTGAAAAAATTATTTTTCCCCACTGCCGCTAGGATGAAATGTGACAAGGTGAACTGGACGTGTTCACTGACACCGAATCCGGGTCAAATAGAGGTGATGCATGCTGTTATGACTGCCGGAGACATTGTTTTTCAATACCACTCTAAATTTGTAGTGAAAGTAGATGGGGAGGTTCTGGCCTAAGCTAAGGAGGTTGTGTAAAACTGGTGAACATGGCAGATATTTTATTACTGACCTAATCTGCCTCCACCTTGAAACTGTGAGCAAGCCAGCAATGATGGCCAGCATGTCATGCCCCCTGCCTTTCCAATGGGGTGGAAGCGGGGGGGTACCGGAGGAGACCGGTGCATTCTGTTAGCATATGCCGTAAGTTTATTTAATTACCCCCTTTTAGGGATGCGCCACTGTATGACAGCTTTAGTGGCACATAACTTCCATATAACTGTAAATTCACGCTCCATTTAAACCAGAACTTTAAAAGTCTTTATCTTCTACTGATTGACCGTCCCAGCATAATTCAAGAGAGTCTTTCCAGCCACCCGTGTAGGTCACCTTAAACTTCCTCATTAATGCACTTCCAAAAAAATAAGATATAAATAAAATATGTTTGCAGGTGATAAACAGCGTACTGCTGATATGAAGACTGAAGACTCACCTCTTCAGATAGCACCTGTGACCTCTTTCCTTTTTTTTATCGCTCGCTTTGGATTTTCTTGTAAATAATTTTCTAATTACAGCCGTAGAAGGATAGGCTGTCTGTAAAGTGGTACTTTCTTCGGTGGAAATGCAGATAGTTTGTTTGGTTGACAGTGAGTTCATTATTAATGGACTTGTGTACTTTCCTGGTGCTAGTTTTGCATTCTCAACACATACACTGCTCTGCTGTAAGTTCTGTCCCAGAGTTTGGTTTAGAGACTTCAGAGTAAAAGTCATTTTTCAAGATTGCAGCTGATATTCTGTCCACCCCCTGCAGATTATTTACACTATATTGTCTACTGTCGTCCAATGTAAGGGTCTCCTTTCCAGCGGCTAAAGTGCTGGAATGATAAGTATGCCAGCGGTAAGGAAGCTGCTGACGCTTCCGTCTGAGGTCTCAGACGCTAATCAATCTTGTAAATTATGCTTCAGAATAACTGAAATGTCATCCAGCTAAAGACGTTGCAGAGGAAAGAATAAAGTTGGCCAGTAAGTGAATTGCATGTTCTCTTAGAAATACGTTATCTTGAAACTCCCCAGAGACACCCTCTCCCAGCAACGCTCAAAAGCTCAGAGTAATGTCTGGAGTTTGCTGAATGGGATAGTGGATAAAAACTCTCAAGCGGCATTTCCTGCCCTACCGAGCCTGGTACTCGGTGTTCATGCCTGCTGTTTGTTCTGCCTGTGGACCAGGCACTGTTAGTGTGGAAATTACTCATGTGACAGAGCACACAATTATATCTGAGGGGGGTGTGGTGAATATGTAGGGGACATGGAGGGGACGCTAACCTTGCTGGGGGCGGGCGCCACCTGTCTCTTTACATTCCACCTGTTCGTATCGCCGAGGGACAGGAGTTCAGAGCTCTCGGAGGTCGGATTGAAGCCCGGAAAATGTGCCGCCTGTGTGACAGTGGTGCCCTGCGGCGCGCCAGACCGTTGCCACCCTGCTGGGCTTCAAGCGGGCTCTGACACCGAGGCCAGGAGGTGAAAATACACTTTAGCCCCTGAGCACCACACATCAACACCTACAGTCCTCCAGCTTTTCAACATAAGGGCTTTGGAAATGATGCCTGCTGCTTTTCGGCTATGGAGATTGTCGGCATCTATTGTTTTGTAGTTATTGTATCCCTGGTCAACGAGTCGGGGATACTGTGGATCAGCGATTGTCATGTCGCGTCCGCCACGGCATCCTTAGAGATTTTCGTGTGAGCTCTCCACAGGCCACAAATTTCAACCG